AATATGGAGGCAGGCAGAATGACAGAGATAAGGAGGCTGCCCTTAGTAGAATCCTTTAGAATGTTTATCAAGTAGAGAATACTGGTCCTCACCAATGAGTTGAAATCCAGAGGGCAAGATCCAGGAATCAGTTATTATAAACAGGCAATGTAAGGTGAGTCTTATGCATAGTGTATTTTAAGAACAGGTGTTTGAGGGGAAGGATCCAGTGAAGACAGATTGAAAACATAAAAACAAGAAAAAAATTTATTGTGTATTACAAGATTTTGGAGACATTAAAGGGGGTTAATGAAAATAAAATCAGTGCATGGACTGATTTTTATGTTTTAAAAACTTGACTTTGGAAAAAAATGGTATGGATAGTAGTTTGCTTGTTGCTGCTCTTGTTGTTTTGGTCAGGTCTTTAAGGATTTTTTGTTTCCCAAAATAATACTCTTTCTTTGCCATGGATTTCAGTCAGTTCAGAAGTGCATTGGGTAAATCATAAGAGTGCTTTCCCAGCTCTCATTCTGTTCCCCAGCTTGGTGTGTACCTTCTGGCACTTTCTGTCATGTAGAAACACAAGCCCTCCCACCCAGCAGATGTGTTGTAACCTGTTCCCCACCCCGACCTGTGCTAAATCATTACATGTAGGGACACTTGGGGAGCACCTGAGAAACAGATGATCCAGTTAAATCTCCTTTTAAACATGCTAATAAAGGACCTCTTTCTAGTGGGGAGGCTGTATTTATAGAACGATTCTTACAGGAGATACCTGGCTCTTTAGGACTGATTATTGTTAACAAACCTGGAAGCCACGGAATGTCTTTCTGGAAAGGGTCATGTGAGCCCTGTAACCTTCCGTCGAGTATAAAGTAGGGATGTTTTGTGGTGAGAACTGGCGGGGGTGGTGAGCGCACACTCACACTGTGGAGCCTTCGTGTGTCCCTCGGGGCAGGGCCTGTCCTGAAGGGGAAGGAGAGGACCTGGGAGCAGCTTCCTGGGCCCTCCCTGCTTCTCCTGTCCCTTGTGGCTCCTTGTTCTCTGGAAAGTTTTATTTAAGTGATTTCCTTATTTACTTGTATTTGAAGTTCAAGTGTGCTAATTGATTTGTTTTTGCTTGAGCAATTGAGAGTAATTGAATAGGAATTCTGTATCAGAGGGCCTAGCAGTGTAGTTGTCATTTAATGTTACCTGAAGGAACGACGTGCCCCATTTTCTCAAAGAAAATATATTTAGTTATTCAAGATTTACACTGTTTATTTTTCACCTTTGAAATAGAAATATCTTTTTCTCCATGCTTTCTCCAGGTGATATTTGTTTGAATTCTTATTAAAAAAGCTAAACATAATCTTTTCAGAAATCTTACAAGATGATCAGAGATAAATACTTAATGTTTCAGAAATCTGAGGGTACATATTCAAGTTATTATTTGTTTTGTTCACTGTCTTATTTCCAGTGCCTGAAACAGAACCTAACACAGGGTAGATTTCTGGTAAATATTTGATAAATGAATGACTTTGTGGGTAGCTTATCCAGTAATTATTTTTTATAATATTTATAAAATATATGGAGTGAGTGTCTTTAGCTATTGAATAATATTTCGTCAGACTCTTTCACCAGGTACTGAGCAACAATGAGAATAAGA